CTAATGTTTGGTAAAATTGTAACTAATATTGATAGCAACTAAACTGTAAAAAATGGTCATGATCGGCGCGGGGGAGATCGCCCTTTCTTATCCGGCTACGACCTTTTTTAATTTTTAATGATTTACTCTTACAACTACTAATTAATCTATATCAGTTCCATTTTTATGACTTTAAATAGTATATTCTATTTATATGTATAATTACAAAATGACAGATTCTGCTTACTTTTTGTTAATAATCCGTTGTCAGATTATATCGGCAAAATATGAGTTTAGTCCTGACATTCTTAATGCGGCTGATGCCATAGTACTCTGCTCAAATCTGCTAGTTAAACTACTAATATTATTTATTGCTTCTTTGGGTGTTCTTATCTATGTAACATTTTGCCATAATTTTTTCTTTTATTTTCTAATTAAGTTAAATCTGTGGATTTTGAAAATATCTGATCAATACAAACTTTTATTAGAATTTGAAAATATTTTATTTTTTGCACATTGAAGTCACGTTGTTGTTTTATTCTCGTATTTAGGAATTAAAAATCCTTAAAAATAATTAAATAATATTTCTCTTCTTAATTCAGAAAGGTCAGATCTGAAAGTATTAATATATATTATTTAATATTTTATATACATTATATATATATATTATTATACAATATAATATTTGCATATGTTATTTAATATTTTACTTTTAAAAATGTTCTCCTTAGATATTAGTATCTTAGTTAATAACGTTATTCTAAGGTTTTCTCATATAAAAGAATGACGTAAAATTCTTTTTCCGAAGACCGAGCGAGATAGGTTGGAAGAAGCTCGAAGGCATCTGGAAAGACGACTTGAAGGTTGCGAGACGGAACTTCGTGGCAAGGAGGATGAACTTTTTTTGCAGCTGGAAAGGAGTTTGCGACTAGAAGAAGAGATCGAACGGGCTAAGGCCGAGAGGGACAGTTATATGGAGGCGCAAAATCGACTGGAACAACAACGGGAATCGGCTTTTCGTCGTTTGCGGATACAGCTTGAACAGAATGAAGTCACAAGGCGGGATCTCGAGAGAGCGCGCCAGGATGTTATTCGGCAAGCCACTATTATTCGTATCGAAAGAGACACCTTAGAAAGAGAGGTGGGTGTTTAAATTAAGAAATATATTTTGTATCATATTACTATACAAGGACTTTATTTTCGTTACATTTACATATGCTGCGTCTCTGGAATTCTCGAATTGTTTTCTTTTTTCATAAGTCTCTTTGTCTCTAGACATATAATACACGACATTAATTGAAATTTTGTTTCTTTCGATAATTTCTTACAGAATGAGATGTTGCGGCAGAGACTGAGGGTGGAACAGGATGAATTAGGAGCGGAACGACGCCGTCGAGAAGAAGGCGTTGCGGCATTAACGAGAGAGACTATCGCGTTGAAACACGCGACGCGTCATTTGAGTGCCGCAACATTTCATGCAACATCTTGCCGGAATCGTCGCCGATGTTCCATCTGCATATATGCTAGGCGCACCTTTGCTAACATCGACAATTACCGTGACAAGTGGGTAATTTCAAAAATTTTTATCGGAAAGAGCGAGAATTTCAACAGTTGTATTTGGTGTCCAAAGACACATCATAACAAACTTTTAAACATCGAAACTTTGCTCTTTGCAGTGGGAATCTCTTGCAGTGCCTTCAAACGCCCTTACAGGATCTCCGTAATTGGTTACGACCTAACGTGATCTCGTCGGCCTGTTCGTCTCGAATTCCGCAAATCGAGCCATCCATTGCTGATCGAGGAATTTCTTATATCGACGATTCTAGTGTCGATAGTAGCAGCAATGGAAGTACTAACAGTCGCAGCTGCAGTAGCAGTACCAGCAGTAGCAACAGCGCTTATGATGATGACGCGTATTCGAGTACTCGGATAGCCGAGCCTTCCCTTTCTTCAGCCACTTCCAGTGTCCCACATGCAGCTAGAGCCTTTTCTTCGGATTCAGGGTTTGTTCAATTAAAAACAAATATAATATACTAATAAATCAAATAAGGGCTACGAGCCTGAACTGGGTATTTAACCCTTTCAAGCACGGTGGCATTGTGGAATGCCCCCTTTTCCATAACTATTTTCTGAATAATTGGAGTAGTTTTCATTCAATTTTTGAACCTTTTTTGTGTTTTGGTATCAGTTATACATTCAAGAATAAGTATCGATGTGCAATAATTCGAAATCATGAGTGATTTTGTTTACACATATAAACAAACGTTGAAAATAGCAATTTTTCTGGAGAAAATTCATTATCTCCGAAAGTTCTCAGAGTTTCCACGCAAAGATCTTTCCTCAAGGGTTTTTTGGGTCGCTGATTACGAATCCGTGGCCAGATTTT